AAAAAAAAAAAAAGGACAAGTGTTTGCGACAGAACGACGAGACGAGACGAAACGAAATGAAACGGGACGGAACGGAACGGGACGATAATGAGCGAGCTAAAAGCGATTTAGCGCCACGGCGCTAAGTGTTTTGTCGCCTTGCGAACTCGGTGCTAACTAATGCGGTTCGCAGAGGACGCAGACCGCATTCCTCCTCTCTCGCCTCTCACCTATACTGTAAGGTTCGGACACTCGTAAGGTTTACCAGCGCGTTTCGCTCGTAATGTATTCCTTCGAGCCACTGCCACACACGTCGACGTTGGTCCCTCGTTTATTAACATTAGCTTTTCCCGATCCCTTCGGGACGGGCTCCGTCCATTTAGAAACTTTCGCACGAACGTTTCGAGAAATTTTTAAAAGACGATTTTTATCCGTCGTTCCCTGTGTGGTGGGCAAAGCGTCGCAAATGCACAGCCCTCCCGCTAGACGAAAGTCGAAAATTCAGTTGTCGTTCCACGTTATTTGGCGAATTGTGCGAAACGTAATTGACACTGACGATGGAGAGAAAACGGGTGGTCCGAAGCGGAGAACATTTTTTACGCGTTATTCATGGTCTTCGAACGGTGAGATGGTGTGGCCATGCAGCGAGCAGCTTCGCCGCAGGAAACGACAATGCAAGAGCCATGAGCACCGATTATCGAGGAAGCGTATCTTCCAGATGAAAAGGAAAATCCTGATTTTTCTCGCTTCCAGTGCGGCCGAGTCGCCCGGCTGCCAGGGAGGAAATTGCCCGTAACTAAAGCGACGCCTCCAGATATCCACTGACAACCGGAACAGCACTCTTTTTTTTTCTCCCCGTCATCCTAGATTCTTTTCTCGTTCTCGACGTTTCCTCATTGTTCCCCTTCGCCGTTTACTAGCCGCGAGACTCGAACCTCGGTGGAAGTGCTGGACGTGCCGAAAATCAAGACGAAATATCATCGAGACGCATCGCTGCCGATTTCCTCGCGAAACGAGGGAGACGAAATTTGTTTCGTCGGCAAGGCAATCGACTCACGAGATTAATAACGGAGTTCGAGGGTACTTGTTCGAAGGACTGTATACGGAGGGAGGCGGAGGATACACGAGAAGACACGGGGAGGCCGGTATCTCCCACAAAGGGCTGACAATAGCAAACAGTTTAATGTCCCGTGCGTTTATTGTATCTCGGCTACCGTATCGTGGCTTTAACTCGGGATCGGTAGCCCGAGGAGAAAGGGTGAAAGGCGGCGAACCAGAGGAAGACGCAAGATCGCGGGAAGGAGAAGGAGATCGGTACAGCGGGACAGATCTGTTATTCCGTTGGACTCTGCCCGTTCGCTGGTGACATTTGAATGCTCGATCGAT